AATAAAGAAATGAAATGAGATAAAAAGAAAGAAAATTAGAAACTTACACAAAAGGTTTCTAGTTTCTGTACAGAAGTAAAAACATTGTAAAAAAAAGTAAAAACCTAAATAATAAAAGTTGGATAAACAGAAAATTATAAAATTAATTATTCAATTAAATATTTTATTTTTATTCTTACAATTTTTTAAACTAATTTCATAAATTTGAATTAATGCATAAATTGAAATTAAATAAATCAAATAAATAACTAAAAAGTAAAACAATGGGTAAGGAAATAAGATAAAGAAGAAAGAAGAAAAATAAGAAAGAAGCCCGCTTATCTCTATCTAATAGGTTCAATCAATTAAAAGAATAAAAAAATTGAATTTGTATTTGTATTTCTATTGACACTTAAGTCTTTCTCCTTTATCTCTCCTTTCTCTTCTTTCCTCTTTCCTCACCCCATTCAGATTCTTCCTCTAAGCAAGAGAGAAAGCAAGGGAACGCTCCAATGAAGAGAAAATATTCCGAATCCATCGTATTATGAAAGACAAAAGTGCCATGACCTCCCAAAAATACAAAAACCCTTAATAAACCTCATACTAATAATAAATAAAAAAACTTAAAAACAAAAGCATACATAAACAAAAACTACATACGAATAAATAAAGGAAAAATCAAACTTGGAAAATAACAACGAAATAGAAGTCGAACAATATAACCTATAGGAAAAAAAATCAAACCATGAGCATATGAAAGGGAAAAATTGAAAGTAAAATACAACTTGAAGAACTAAAATATAAAGCAAATTAACATAATCAAATCAAAGCAACACAAAAACCATGAATAAAAACAAAATGAAAATCACAAAACAAAAAAAAAATTCATATAACGACGAAACCGAAATGCGAAAAATAAAAAAAATACAAATCACAAATAAAAATAAAAAAAATATAAAGAACCAAGAATAGTGATTGAATAAATCAAAGACCAAACAAAACAAAGAAAAAACACCAAAGCAAATGGCCAAAAAAAATAAAAAAGGAAAAGAGTTGTAAAAATTGGACAAAAAGATGAAAAAAATGAGAAAAGTGAAAGATGAGAGAAGGCGGAGATACCTGGGGGAGAAGTCAAAAATTAGAATGGAAAAGCGAAAGTAAAAGTAAAAAGATGAGTTCAAAAAACACTCATAATCAAGAAAGATAATATAAAAAAATTATATAAAAGTTCAACGGTAAACATAAAAATTTAAAAGATAATCTAAAGTTACTAGCTACATATTAGTAGACTACTAGTTTGTGTTAGATTTATTATTTTTTAAAAATAAAATTATTATACTTAAGATTCACCCACTACTGTATAACGTGCATTCAGACAGAGTAAAGTAAAACAAAAGATGTGAGCAACTATGACAGATAATGCCATTGGAAAAGTAGATTTTACTTGGGCAACTAACAGCTATCAAAGTGATACTATCACTTTAGAGACAAAATCAAGAGTGGGCATGTTTTTTTCATACACACTAATAAATAAAAATGTGTGAACACATACAAACTCATAACTTTAAATTATATGTTGCACCTTAATTTATGGGATAAGAGTAGTGCGTGTACTAATTTGTCTATTGCCATTCAAATTCAATTACTCCACAATGTTTCTTTAGGAAGAATCTTCATCTGCATAGTTGGCACTTGGTTGTTTGTTGCAGTTACATTGCCAAATATAAATATTTAAGTAGCAAAACAAGAGTTTTAATTACAATAATTGGTCCTGGCGAAAGTGGATAAGGGCAAGCACCAACCAGATTAGCCGCATCCCTGTCCATATCAGATGCTCATCCGATTCACATAAAAACTTTAGCTGTTCCAGGTCAGCTCCTCCTCAGCTTTGACCTGCCCTAGATGTTTCCCACCCTTGATAAGCCTTGGCCACCCACTTCCTTAACAGCCCCATTTCCTCGCCCCATTTGCATTAAGGTTTTCGATTTTCAGATGCCACGTTTTTCTTAATTTTTATTTTCTATAAATTAAGTCAAAACTGTGTTCAATTTGCAACCGTGCTATACGTTTAGTCAACTAAGGACTGCGCAAATGGCAATTTTGTTTTCCAAACTATCTACATTTTGTTATTCACAGGATAATACCAAATACATTATCAGATAAATTAAATATACGATTTAAGTTATAGGTACATGTGTATCATTTTTTTAGAGGACTATATGTTAAAATAGTGATATGATAAGTTACTTAATTTTGTGGATCTTGAATAATTCAATATGTTATATCTTTCTACAATTTAATAACTTTTTAATGTAAAGAGTGTTACATTTTAAATTTAAAGTCTTTATCAGTAATCTGATCTGATAATTAAATTTAACACTTTTGTGTCTATTTGATTTTCTCTCTTAAAATTTAACCAGGGTAAAAGAATGAAATAGTGCCTATATGCACTCTTTCTCATTCTTTCTCTTTCCTTTTCACTTGTCTGTCGTTAAATTTATGAAGTTATCAACTCAGTTAGTAATGTTTTTAAAAAAAAGTAGAAAAAGAATACATTCAGTATTTAATAAAGGACAATAACTATAATTTAACATAAAATTTCTATGAAACCCCACAATTTTGTTTATATATATATATATATATGAAAACGCCACTTAAAAATAAGTAATAAAAAAATCAGATGAATTATTACTTTGCACCTCCAATCTCTATTGGAGTACGTTGTAAGAAGAGTGGAAGATTATTTTGTACCTTGGAATCTCCTCTTTATTGAAAAGAGGCAAAGCACAATTTGAGTATAAGTAATGATTAAATTAATTGATCACTACATAAAGTATGATATAAGTCAATCTGTTTACAACTTCTTTTTTATTATTATTATTTGGGAAAGAAAATTTTGACTTACTAAAAGAAGAAGATTTAATCGAACTCTTTTAAATTAGAACATGATACAGTTTAGACTTTATTCGGTCAAATATTGGGACGATGAAGTAATTCACAGTTGAGAAATAAAAAAAGGAAGAAGAAGAGTAGTATTCATCTTTTACGGGAAACAATGCAATTTTAGAATTTCAAAGTATTAAAAAGAATCGTGTCAAATTAACCTGAAGCGTAGGAAATATGAGCAGTACGCGGCGCCAGGACTATTCTCACCTGTCTTTTCTCTCACTAATTTTCCACAATAACCCATCAATTTAATTGAACCAAAAAACTCCTAATCTTGTTCGGTTTCTAGCTTTTTCACTTCTATAAATACTTCTCAAAAGCCATACAAGAAACTAACACAATCTAAGTTGCCTCTGATTAAATTTCTCGAATTCTCTCGTATATTCAATCTCGTTTATGGCTTTCAACAATGATCTCTCTGTGATCCTTCCCCGTGTTCTCATCGTCTCTAGACGTAGCGTTCGCAAGAATAAGTTTGTAGATTTTGTCGGTAGGTTTCTGTGTCTTTGATTGGTAATCGATTGTTTTTGTATATTGTTTTCGTTCTTTTGTTTTGATGGAAATTTTGCTGTTGAACATTTCAGGTGAATATCATCTTGATCTCATAGTCGGTTATGGTGCAGTTCCGGTGATTGTACCGCGAGTTAATGGGGTTCATATGTTATTAGATAGTTTCGAGCCAATCCATGGTGTTCTTCTTTGTGAAGGGGAGGACATTGATCCATCTTTATATGAAGCTGAAACATCTGGCCTTTCACTGGAAGAATTAGAAGAAATCAGGAGACTGCATGCAAGTGATACAGCCATTGATACAGAGAAAGATTCAATCGAGTTAAGGCTAGCAAAGCTTTGCCTGGAAAGGAACATTCCTTATCTGGGAATTTGCAGGGGTTCACAGGTTTTGAATGTTGCTTGTGGAGGTACTCTTTATCAAGATATTGGAAAAGAGCTGTCAAGGAATTTGCCAGAGAATCAAAGAGTAGTGCACATGGATTATGATAATTATGATGGGCACAGGCATTCGGTGAAAATTGTGGAGAATACCCCTTTGCAATGCTGGTTTAAGGATTCTTTGCAGGATGGGAAAATGGAGATTTTGGTTAACAGTTATCACCATCAAGGTGTTAAGAGATTGGCACAACGATTTGTAGCAATGGCTTTTGCACCTGATGGTTTGATTGAAGGGTTCTATGATCCAGATGCTTATAATCCTGAAGAGGGTAAGTTCATCATGGGACTTCAATTTCATCCAGAGAGAATGAGGCGGCCTGATTCAGAAGAATTTGATTATTCAGGATGCCCATCTGCTTATCAGGTTTATTGCATTGATATTTAGTTTTCCTCTTTTACAAGATATATTTTATTTGGTAATTTGTTGAACAGGATTCTGATTCTGGGATTTTGGTGGAAATTTGTGCAGGAATTTGTGAAGGCAGTAATTGCTTATCAGAAGAAACTCAATAGCTCAACATCTATACCAAAGCCTTTGAAGCTTAATCAGGAAATGGAGAAGAGAAGAAAAATTATAGTGCGAAGCTTCTCACTTGCAAAGAATTTGTACACTGCAGGAGGTGGGATGCATCCTTCTAAAGTATCTGAACTTCAAGCTGGAGCAGAATTTCTTGAGGTATGACAGTAAATTAGATAACTAGATTAGGAAAGTATTTTAATATTCCATTCCTTCTAGAGTATATACATATATATATAATGTGATGCAGTCGATTCATTTCATCGGCTTTGTCATTTGCTTGCAGTCAAACACAGCTCTCAGTGTGCAACAAGAGAAAAGACTGAAGCAGATGGGAGCAACAGTTAGAAATGGGACTAATTACATTGAGAAATTGAAGATAAATGAAGAAAGGGAAAGATTAGCAAGACATGTGATGGGGAAAATGCCAGTTGAGGAATTGTCTGATCTGATGTCATTCTACCACATGATGGGGCAGATATGTTCAGAGGTTTTGGAAAGAAAGCTACCAGGCATTGTTAATGACATTAGCGATTGACACTTCCCCAGCATGATTTGGGGAAACATGCTTTGCTGTCAGTAAAAGGACAGGTGTTTGGCAAAGGCTCACAGGAAACCTGGGTTGTAGGGACCCCTGTAATTCCTCTCTGTTTTGTCTTCTGTGTTTGCTTTCATGTGATATATGGAAAAGATGGTTGTAAGTAACTTTATTTATCCATGCTCATTTTTGTTCTGTACCGGGAACAAAAGCACTGTGTACATTTCTGGCCATAAATATTCTTAATTTTCTAATTACCATTTGAATTTCTCACACAGAGGATGTAAAACTGAAACTGGGATTTTGCATTTTGATATAAAACCACTACACACAACAGTCTTTGTCTACCAAGTTAGAAAATATAACTTGAACACCCACGTGTACACTCGTGCACGTGAATTCACTTTTTACGTTGTTGAGATCGTGGACCTTCCTTTCCTTCGTTTTGGCAAAGTTCTTGATTGTCAAGATTAGCACTTTTGAGAACTTGCTTTTTATACTGTTGCTTGTTCCTTTTAGTTTTAGGGGCTTCCTTCGTTTTGCTTTTTGCTGCCAAAGGCTTTATGCACAGGGACATCGCCCCTTCAAAGTTGGCTTTCTATGCCAAGATAAGTCTTCCATTAGCGTGGTGATAGATTTGTAATGGCATGTTATGACATTCTAGCTTTCGGTTCAATGAAATTTATTTTTTAAAAACAAAATTAGAAAAGTTTATTTCTTTTAAAATAAAAATATGAAAATTTCATTAAATATAATAAAAAATAACAAATTTTTAAAAATAATTTCAAGTATTTTCCAAATGCTTGAAGATGTATATTTTGAAGTCAAGTCATGAGTTCCAAACATTTAAGATAGATAGTAAAATATCTACCCTCTGTTGCAGTTGAGGATGTTACAATTTCTTTTTCTTTATTTTTCTACAATTAGAAACTGATTTATCAAATATCAAAAGGATGATGTTTTTGTGAATAGTTTTTAACAATAATAATTCAACAATAGCTCCTAAGTTTAGTTAGTGAGATTAGCGACTGGTTTATCTCTTTTCCATTATACCTTGTCAAGTAGGCCCGGACCGTTCTAAACACGGTGTACCGAGCGAACATATTTCCTATATGGAAGAGCAAGTCAATGTATAGGTAAACTTGTTTTACACGTCGGTTAGTTTTAACATGACTCAAACGTTTCCCTCCGAATTAAATCAATACCCCTAGAAATAATGTTGCATGCATGCCTAAGTCTTTTCAAATCAACCCAATGTTCAAACTGTCAAGTCTTTGTTGGAAACTTGAAAGCAAATTCCTACACTTCATGTCAGTCACATCTTTCTATATCCCCTGGTAATAGTATGCTCCTCAAACAAACAGACCCCATTTTACAAACTACTCATTCAATTCTTCTATCTCATCTCTTCACCCAAAAAAAATAAATTGATGTAAATAGGATTTAAATAAAATTTAAAATTTTAATAAAATTAATTTCAAAACGAACCATTTAATGAACACTATCTTTAAAACCTATTTCATCTCTCCCATTTAGTATGTAAAAAAAATTTTTACAAATTGTCTTAGAGATAAAATGAAGCCAACGTCTAACTTCGTCTCAACACTTTACGAAAGTAGATCACTAGACATACCTGAAGATTTGTAAAATTGTTCATCTTTAAAGTTTACTTTCTACAGTAAGTAAATTATAAGAAATTTGATAAATAATGAGAACTCAAGTGTTTATGTTTAATTTCAGAACATAACACTTGTATTGCTTTTGATTTTTCTACTAATATCTTATTTGGTTTTTGATGTGTCAAAATGGTTGACAGCAAGTCCTTTATATATATTTGCAAGTGTCTCTTCTTCAAAGATATAACACTTTTATCAAGACACCTCTTTATCTTAAAGATACTTTTAACATAATCATTGGGTAAATGTATTGTTTAAATAACCATCTTAAAAAAAGATAACTATTTATTTCATAAAACATAATTTTTAAGATATAATAGGAAACGATAACTTTTCATATCTAAAATTTTTGAGTTATAATGTTTTTCAAATTGTTTCATATCCTTTGGATTCAAAGGTGTTTTTTTCATTATATCTTTTTATCAAAAGGCATAACTATTCACATAAAAAAACCCCATCTATAATCCAATAGTCAAACTATGTCACTCTTTGTGATGTAACCTTTGAGTTAAGATAGCTTTTTATTGTATAATATAACTTTTTATTTTAAATTACATCAACAATCCCCCATTACTTTCAAAATTTTCAAATACCAACAATTTTGAGAATCTTGTGCATAAATGAAGGTATATTGCAGATTTGAGCCTTTTCTTAGCGAATGAAGTTGGTTCTAGTCTGAATTGAGTAGTTAACCAAGTATTAAACCATTGATTCTTCATTTTACTAGTCGGGCCACTAAACACACACAAGTTTCCTTACTCACTTTGTATATAGTTTTACCAACACATTTTTTATGACCTTGTGTTTTGTATCATTCATAAGTACTATTAGAGTCAAGCCTTTAACTCTTAGAAGCGACTACACTTCCATTCATATAGGTAGCCTTCGTCGGAAGTACCTCATAATTATAATACTTCAACATATATGTTATGGGTTTTATTAAGAACTTTTGTTTAATCTTACTTTACACATTACTAAAACCAAACACTATACACCTCAAGATGAAAAATATAAATTAGTACTTGCAATCACTATGTGGTAAAATGGTAGATACTCAAGACTTGCAGGTTAGCCGCAAACGTTGAGGTGAGCTCCCACCATTGGAGATGTAGTTGATAAGCTTGAGACCCATCCCTCTTGAAGTTTTTATTACCAAGTCCTTTTTTTAACTTTTGGTAAACAGATTCACTAAATTTTCATAAGACCTCACATAACTTATAGTAACTATATCATCATAAATTCTTTGTCTTACAATGTTATATATGTTGAAGTCCAATATATTGACTCTTTTCATTGTATGCTTGATTATATGCATTTGATATCCTTGCTTTATTGTCACAATGTATCAAGATTGATGCCATTGGTTTAGGCGACAACAAAATTTCATAAAGTAAATCTCTCAACTATTCTATTTCTTGGGTGGCAGATGCTAAGGTTATAAATTCAATTGTCATGGTGGAGTCCACTTAACAAGATTGTTTCTTAGAACCCAAAGAAACAACACTCCCACCAATTGTAAAATCCAACCAGTCGTAGAGGTATGATCCATTTTATTCGAGTTTTAACTAGTATCTTTATACCCTTCTAAAATCAAAGGAAAACCTAAATAACAAATGCCATAATTCATTGTATTCTTTAAGTACCTTAGAACTCTATGAACAACATACAAATGTTCTTTACTTGGATTATTTGTAAACCGACTTAGCATCCCACCCATAAATATAATATTTGGCTTTGTATACATCATTGCATACATTAGGCATCCAATCATCCTTGCATATTCATTTTGTGCTATTGGCTTTTCTTCGTTGAGTATTAACCTTATATTAGAATCATAAGGTATAAACATTGACATACAATCTGACTTACCATACTTTATATCTCCATAAAGAATTTTTTTGAGTACAGGATAAAATATTACAGATTCCAAATGCATATATGTATGTATATCTCCAAACCTTAATTACTCCACTTTATTACTTAGAATTTTCATTTCTTGAATAAGCACAAATTAATATTTAAAAGCATTAAAATATAACAAAATGGTAATATTTCACTTCATGATGTGAAGGGTGCTACAAGACATACAATTATTATTGAGTGAGAGTTCAATTAGAAAATGAGATTTGCTTCCCATAGGGTATATTGTTATCGTATAATTCGCAAAATTTTAATTTTTTCATTATTTAACTCTTTTTAGGCATGTTAAAGTGTTGTGTCATGAATTCTACATTAGTAAGAGATAAAATAGATCTTGGTATATAAATATTGATTTTCCACCACTTATTAAGCATAGTTTTTGAATTAAGAACGTGGATTCATGATTTATAGACTTACTTAAGCTCTATTTTTAAAATTTAAAGCCACATGAGGTTGACCGTAAGTTTCAATCCCTGACATCGAGCTAGACCTCACTAGTGTGGCAGTTGCATTATGCTACAATATATTAGTAACTAATATTTAGGATTTTGGTCTAATAGTTTATATAATTATATTATTATTATGTACAAAAATACGAACTCCAAAGGCACAAATAGCAATATATATATATATATATATATATATATATATATATACCTTTGATAATTTATTAAATTAACCATTTTGTTCTTCAATATTGATATTTTATTAAATTAAAATATTAACTAATTTTATTTATTTCCTTTTTATTATTAATTAAAATTCTTATAAAAGTAAAATTTCCATAATTGAGAACTTTTTATTGTATTAAATATTAACTAATTTTTTATTTTTTATCAACATTGAAATACTCATTAAAGTAAACTTTCCTTAATTGATAAAATTTTTATTGAATTGAATAATGCCTAATTTTATCTATTTGTTTACTTATAACCACTGAATTATTTATTAAAGTAAATATTCCTTAAAATATAAGTTTAGCTATAGTAGAAGCGAGAACTTTCAATGCATTAGCCATAATTAACTTGTAACACTGTAATCTATAAGCCACAACTATCATGTCGGGGTTCACTTTGGCATGTTGGTGATTATATCAAGTTATCAAGGTGAAAACTAAGTATTCACCCATATATAATTAGTTAATTACTATAGTTTAGGAAAACAGAAGTAAATAATAACAATTATAAAAGTTAAATATTTTTTATTAAATCAGAACATCCTTATTAAAGAAAAATATTGAGTAATTAAAGTAAATAATTATACATTTCCTTATTAAGGTTGAATTCCTTATTAAAGTAATAAGGAATTTTCATAGTTTTTACATTTTACTATTTTATAATCTAAACTATATATGATTCTTACCTACATATATGCTCCACATTCAACACATGTACCAGGTATTTTATCAGGATTAAAAGGCATTTTTGAGTTTTTAGTTCTACTTTTCCTCTCTTCCTGATCCCTTTTCCTTTATTGATCCTACTAACCTTTTCATGGTCACACCGGCCCAACTCAGGCATCACAATCCCAAGTCGGCGCTAATCGAAGATGCTACTTCCAAGCTCTTCGGCACGGTCATCATCCTCTCCGAGATCTGCACGGATATGTGATCGCAGTGCTTTTGTTTTTCTTTCAGTTCATAAAATAGTGAATTTTTTTAAAGGTAATTGAGGTTATGATTGATGGGTTTTTGTTATCTTGGACTAATGATTAATGGGTTCTCTCTGGTTTTTTTTGTCTAAATTAGTTGTAGCATATTCTTATAGTGAGAATCACCTAGTTAAAGTTAGCTAATGAGTGCTATTTTTAAGCTTAATTTATTGCATGAGCATCGTCAGTTCAATCTTTTGGTTCTTTCTACAAATCTTTTGATTGATGATGTTTGGTTATTTTGAGATACTGAATCGCAAGACATGTGATGGGGAAAATGTCAGTTGAGCAATTGTCTGATCTGATGTTGTTCTACTACATGATGGGGCCGAAATGTTCAGAAGCTTTGGAAAGAAAACTACATGGCAGTGTTAATGACATTAGCGATTGACACTTCGCTCTGCCTGAGCCTGGGGAAACATGCTTTGCTGTCAGTAAAAGGACAGATGTTTGGGAAGGGCTCACAGGAAACCTGGGTTTCACCGCCCCCTGCCTTTCCTCTCTGTTTTGTCTTCTTTGGTTCCTTTCATGTGATATATGGAAAAGATAGTTGTAAGTAACTATTTATCCTTGCCATTAAAGAGGCAATGGTTTTGTTTTCAGCCTCCTCCGGGCTATAAAGACTAGTCTTATTTTGGAAAGTGACTCTATGAATACAGTACTCTGGATTTCTACGCTTTCTGAAACCTCATGGAGGTTCCGGCATATTGTTTCTCAGATTAAATGAATGAGCTCAAAGCTTCTGGATTGGGATATCAAACATATCCCTCGATTGGGTAATGATATGGCCGACAGCCTTGCCAAAGATTGGGTGAGAAGATCAGAGGATTTATTGTATATTTTTCCTGAATGATGCCTACTGTCTTATAAATGTGAGTTATGACTATCTGTTCTTGCTAGTAAAAAACGAAAACAGGAGTTATTGTTACCACTAATTACTGGTTCGTTTATGATTTTGGATGCTAGTAAGATTGATGTGTGATTGTTCAAGAGAGCATATGCTGTATTGCCCTTGCCTTGGCTGTTTCTTTTTTTTTTAAAGCCAAGTTTGTAACTGACCGCTGTTTCAAGTCAGAGTCTTTTAGTAAATTACAAGAACTCTCTGCTTTGATCAATAAAAGTCCTTACTTATTCAAAAAAAAAGAGTAACTATTTATCTACATTCATTTTTGTGCTGGAAACAAGAGCACTGTGTATATTTCTGGCCATAAATATTCTTAATTTTCTAATTACCATATGAATTTCTCATGGCCTCTTAACACTTGAATAGAGGATGTAAAACTGGGATTTTGCATTTTGATATAAAACCACACGACTCAACAATATTTGTCTAAAATATCAGACTTTGGACTTGCTTAATTATGTGAAAGGAAGGAGAGAGTATCATATCTTTGACAGAACCAAGAGGAACTACAGGATAGATGGCTCCATAATTATCCAACAGAAGCTTTGGTGGAGTCTCTTTCAAAGTCTGATGTTTATGGCCTCGGTATGATGGTCCTCGAATTGGTGGAAGGAAAACCATTGATGTTGCAATCTCCCGCACCACACAAGTGAAAGATATTTGCCACACTGGATTTACTGGCAACTCGGATTAGGCTAAGATTTATAGCTCAACGAGATTGTGACATTGGATTTATAATGAAAGAGTAGCGAGAAAGTTGGTTTTGGTTAGTTTGTGGTTATTGGTTGACATAGGATGAGTTACTTGCTTGTCACGTGGCAGTCAAAAGCACCCTTTAGGAACAAATTTTATTTTCATTCTTTACTTTTAAAATTTTACAATAATAAACAAATATCTATTTATATGTGCTATATATTAAAACAAGCGGTGTTTTTGGATAGAGGTATCAATATGGATTGATTCGATCTAAAATATTATAGGTTGCGAAAATATAAATTAGGTTAAATCAGTCTATTTTTTACATGTATCATCAAAATTCTAATCCAACTTATCCTTTGTCAGCCCATCGGTTGGGGTTAGGCTAACTTTTTTCTTTTTTCTAAAAAAATTCACTGTCATGATCTTACCTAATAAACTCTCTATTAATAAAATTGTTTCATAATTTAATTTATAAATTGAATAATAAAAACATGTTATAAATAAATAAATTACACTAAATATAAATAAAAAAATAAATTATATCAAACGTAAATAAAGTTTCAATTGTTAATACAAACTACAATTCCATAAATATAAATATATAACCAAATAAATATAAACTTCAACACTTATTTATATCTTTTCTCAATCTTCATCTTCAAATAAAACATTTAAATCTTATTTAGACAGTAATAATATCTCAAGGTTTGAATCATTATCATTTAATATTCATTGTCATAAAAAAAAAGAGAAATAGTGAATTTCAATTTTAAAGAAAATTATTAATTTAACAAGTAAAGATTAAAAATATTAAAATATATAAAATAAATAATACTATTAGTAACTAAATTATTAATTATATATAATTAAATATATAAAATTATTAAATTAATTAACATTATTAATTTTATGTTTTTCTTCTAACCCACAAGATTAGCTCATAGCAACTTGAGGCAACCCATTGATTAGATGGGCTAGCCCATTTAAACTCAATTTTAATATGGGTCTAAATTTTTCAATCCCAACTCACCTAACTTTCAATAAAGAATGGATCAACCCAATAGGCTAAGTCCATTTTGATAGGTTTAGTCTTAGATGACAATTAGACAACTTTGTTTGCTTGCAAAGCGTGTTTCACATCTAGCAATTTGTTGATTTTTTTTGGTGGCTTATTATTAATTATATTGAGTTTAATTTAGAGATTATATAGGTTTATTTGACATTTGTATGGGTTTAGGTTTGATGATTTTTGGTTGTATAAACTCATTTGGTTTTGGTTTTATAATCTATATCATATGGATATTAATATGACAAGTAATAATTTTTATAAGAAAAAAAAATCATTGATAAAGATTTAGAGGCGAACAAAAAACATACCACTGGTCACCACATTGAACGGTTGCAAAAGTTCTTTAATTATTTAAGAAATTAAAATAAAATTTTATATTTTATTATATTTAATTAAATAAATTTTTATAATAAATAAATAAATTATTATTATTAAAATATTACATGTCAATTTATGGTGATGTTAAAAGGGTGTTGATGTGTGGGTTATGTAATCATGTTATTATATTACGATTTTATTTATTATAATATATTCATATACCATATCAATATAACGTGATATAAAATAATAAATGATATTTTAACTAATAATAGTTGATAAACTGTTAGTTATAAAAATTTATTTTTAAAAAATAAAATAAAATTTTTTATTAAATATAATAAAAGAATAAAAATACATTTAAAATTTTTAAATAATTCATGAGTTTTTAAGTATTAAAAAAGTATAAAACAAAAAAAATTCTTGCTGACATCATGCTCAACAATTTTTCAAATGTTTTGAACATGTATATTCTGAAGTCAAGTCATGAGTTCCAAACTTTTACGGTAGATAGTAAAATATCTGGACCTCTGTTGCAGTTGTGGAAGTTACAATTTCTTTTGTCTTTATTTTTCTACAATTGGAAACTGATTTATCAAATATCTAAAACTAAAAGATGGTGTTTTTGTAAATAGTTTTTCAATAATAATAGTAAATAGATGTTCAATTTGGTATTGGAAACAACAATAATTCAACAACTACTCCCAAGTTTAGGTGATACGATTAGCGACTGTTTATGGCTTGTCAAGTAGGACCGGACCGTTGTATGCACGGTGCAATGACCAAACATATTTCCAACATGGAAGAGTAAGTCAACGAGGAAACTTCGCTGCGAATACTTAGAAACCAAAGCGCGTAAAATGGTCTTTTTCCTTTCTTTCCTTTTCTGTGCTTCTTTTCCTCAGTAGACTTTAGACTTTCCAATTTGCAATCTGCGTT